AAATTGGTTCACGCATAAAAAGTTATGAGGTAACACAGTTAAAAAAGAACATACAGTCGATTTGGGTACCTCCTCCTTTTTTGAAGTCGGAGAAAATATGAAGACACGATAGAACTCTAATATCCCACTCGTTCTAACAGTATAGAGTACAGCGCAGGCGACTAACATATTCAGTCATTCTACGAATCTTAATCGGAGTGGTGATGTTTTCGCCGCTATAATTCTTTTAGTACAAATGTGCTTTTCCACTATGTTGCAGAGAGGCTGTACTGTGTTGCTGTCAGTTTGCATACTGGATCTATTTTGCTTAGGTTCGGGACGTATTACCGTATGGTCGAATCGTAACTGCGCTACGAAACACAGCAGCATTAAGTCTTATGTAAGAGGGTCATCCTTTCCCGTTTGAGCCGGCTCTTTGCGTGTTACTACCATATAGCGGCAACATATCTCTACCACGTTACCGTTACAGCATATTAAAGTCCACAAAGGCTTTCCCCATAGATTGTTTTATATTTGCCATAGTTACCACGCTTGGCAAACGGGTTGGCAACGGCAGTTTTATTTTTCACTTTTAGTCGTAATCAGGAAGACACTGCTGCCCACCATCTCCTTGTTTGTTTCCCTGTGTGACTTCTTACGATATCTACTAGATAATATGGGGTAGTAGATGTTCTTACACCGTTACGTAATAAAGAAAACGACTAACGACAAAGATATCGATCATACATACAAAGAAGGCGCTCGGAAGAAAGCTATTTGCACTCGTCAAAAAGATAGTTAAGATGGATAGATTGATAAATCATTGATTCACAGAGAAGCAATGCACAATATACAGAGATAAAAATTACCTATGATAGAAGTTACAATGAGGATTAAGGTTGTCTTATAGCAATTTCGAAATAAATATGAAAGAGTATAATATATTTACTTTACTGTATCACCGAAAACGTTTTCTATTTTATTAAGGAATCGTTTATTACATTATATTCAAATTTTTGCAATTGTACAAATCGTTTGGTCATCGTAACCCGATAAAGCAGTGGAACAATGCTTTCTATTCCAGTTTGTCTTTCTTGAGTTTCCATTTGTCAAGCATGGACGGTACATACTAACAAATTCTTCTTCCCTTTTCGTTTTCTTTCCCCGGAAGCACCAATTAATTCGTTAATTGCAATTTGAAGTACTGATTTATCACGTGCTCGGAAGTGAAGGAATACATTATGGGAATACGTGCATATTATCTAAGAATTTTTTTTTATTTTATAGGAGAGGGGGCAAACGAGCATGCGGCTCACCTGATGGTAAGTGACTACCGCCGCCCATGAACAGCTGCAACACAAGGGAGGGAATCGCAGATGCGTTGCCAGCCTTTTAAAAAGGCGTACGCTCTTTTCTTGAAGGTCCCTAAGTCGTATCGGTCCGGAAAAATCGCTGATGGTAATCGATTCCACAAGGAAGTCGTGCGAGGAAGAAAACATCTTCTAAATCGCATAGTGGTGGACCGCCAATCATCCAGATGGTGTGGATGGTATCGGGAGTTCTGCCGCGATGTGCGTTCGTGAAATTTGGCGGCTGGGATTAATCCGAACAATTTCTCACAGCACTCCCCGTGGTAGATGCGAAAGAAAATGCAAAGAGATGCAACATTTCTTCGCAGTGCCAATGAATCGAGCCGATCGGAAAGGACTCGATCGTCGACGATTCGAGCCGCTCTGCGCTGGATGGGGTCAAGTGGAAGGAGCTGGCACTGGGAAGCCCCTGCCCAGAGATGGGAACAGTATTCCATGTGAGGCCGAACCTGCGCCTTGTAGAGTTGCAGGCGGTGTGCCGGCATGAAATATTGTCCCGCTCTGCTGAGCACGCCAAGCTTTTTAGAGGCCAATTCGGCCTTCTCTTCCAGGTGACCACGAAACTGCACGTCACTCGATATGTCGACTCCGAGGATTCTGATACTGGCTAAGGCAAGAAGGGGAGTGCCTTGAAACTGAGGAGATACGACAAAGGGGTTCTTTTTAGCGGTAAACGCGCTAACTTGTGTCTTCTGAGGATTAAACTGGACTAGATTTAGTCGCCCCCAATCCGAGACTTTGTTCAGCAAAGACTCGACTTCAGACACAAGTTTGTTCCGGTACTCGGCGACGTTTTCCTGAGAAATATTGGCACGGCCGGTGTAAAGAGCATCACCAGTGCTGTCATCCGCATAGCAATGAATGTTACCAGTTAGCAACATATCATTGATTTGCAGAAGAAACAGCGTTGGTGATAGCACACAGCCTTGTGGAACACCAGCGTTAATAGGCTTGTAGTCGGAGCATGCACCGTCTGCAACGACCTTGATGCTCCGATCTGCAAGGAAGCTGGTGATCCAATCGCACATTTTCTCGGGAAGCCCATAGGAAGGGATCTTCGAAAGAAGCGCTTTGTGCCAAACCCGATCGAAGGCCTTCGCAATGTCCAAACTAACGGCCAACGCCTCCCCCTTGGACTATACTAGAAATTAAAAAAACATTGTTTCGAAGACATGTGACAGCGGGTGGACACTTACTTGCCCTAAAACTCTTTCAGTAATGAGTGTAAGCCTAAGCCCAGGAGTTTGATGTATATAGATTGTTACTTTTTTTTTCAATATCGACCATTCCCATTACCGGCCTGGATATTTTACGGCGTAATACGGAGATTATTACAGTCTGCTAAAAAACGGATATTTTAGCAGACTGTATTAATATACCACCATCTGTCAGGGCCATAAGTAGCATATCCTATAACCGCCTCTAACAACACTAACGGGTCGACGCACAACTGATAACTTAAATTCCGAACTATAATCTTACTGTCTGGTTGTTAGCCGAACGATTACCCTTGCCAGCACCAAACATGAAGCATAGCTTGGTGAGTATTGCCCGTACTTACAAGAAATGCTAGGCAGCTAGCACATTCTTGAAAATATGTACGATAATGTCTTTCACTGGTTTCACTTAGTGTTCGGCGGTGTAGAAAACCGGAGCGAGGAGAACTTCATAACTGAGGATCAAAATATTTCGAGGACCGAAAGTCCAAGTCCCCAAAAATGCAATGGAGCAGCGTGGCACATTATATGCTTCTAGCAAATATAGACTGTAACATTTTTATTTCACTGGATTAATAAGCAGGGGCCATGCTAATCTTCTCGGTATCGTTTCAATTTTAGTATATGTACCTACTCCTGAAACAAGTACTTTAAGACTGTACCGTGTAGTGGCGGTGTAAGAAAATCCATTACCTTTATAGTTTTGTGGGTATCGTAAGAGGCGACAGACTGAAAAAAATTAATGAGCAGCAGCATCTTCCTGATAATAACACAAAACAATAAATAACTGCGGTTGCCAACCCGCCTGCCAAGCGTGGCAGCTATGACAATATCCCTATAAAACAGTCTATGGGGAGGCCTATGATCATCAGCAGTGGACTTTTATAGGGTGTAATGTATTTATTAACGACCGTCAATAAGATAGTACCATATCATTCTGTATATGTAGTAGTGTAGTTGTACCACTTCTAGACCACCTGAGTCAGACGTGGTTCAACGACGTTCGTCGACGCCCGATCCTAAAGAAAAAAAAAAAAAAAAAAAAAAAAGGTTTTGGCATGCTCTGATCACGAATCCATTTTTGTGTAGAATGCACGGTTCCGGAGATGTGTAGATCAATTAGCTAATATCTAATTGATATCCGGTAAGGGCCTCCACCGTCATTAGCGTCCCATTGTTCCTATTTCTATTGTTCTATTGTTCCTTAATCACCTTCATTGCAGCGTGTGCGTCGACTATATCAGTGCTATTGTTTATTATAATTCTTTGTTTATACAACGCTAATCTGAATCATCAATAAAACACATTACATAATTTTGTTACAATTTTTATTTATAAAATACAAAATCTTATTAATTATTATCTATAAAATAGGAGCGAAACATCTCATCCACTAAAATATCGTTGTACAATGTGTTCCTTGTAAGTATACTCGTAAAACTATGTATTGAACATCCTTGAAACTTATATAGCAAATACATTAAGCAATATTCGCCACAAACTGAAGTCCACTCATTCTGAATCCTATCAACATTCCAGTTCCATCTTTTACAATTCCTTTTTAAAAACTCTAGATGATATCGTACAGGTGATCGTCCATATGAATCAAAATATTGACCGACGTCATTCGTATCGATATATAAAGCTACCCAATGTGACCCTGGTTTATCATCTGTATCCAAATTACATATTATATACGTTGGTACGTGGGTATACATAGGCAGTCTATTAGCTGCATAAACATTATTTTCTAGACTGGGGTGAATCTTTTTCAGATGTTGTTGTACATCTAGTGTATCCATGATATTACTGCTATTAGTAGATTATTACAGTACCTAGCTACTCAATGAATAACATAGGAATGGTCAATTATAGTGATTTCTACATATTAAATTGCATTTTTGTGTTATACAAATCGTACTTGAGTCATTGATCACCAAACAAAACACAATACGAAGAAATGTTGAGATAGGCAACGGAAATGTGAGATAAACTGATATGTTTCTAAATATTAAATTGCATTTTTGTGTTATACAAATCGTACTTGAGTCATTGATCACCAAACAAAACACAATACGAAGAAATGTTGAGATAGGCAACGGAAATGTGAGATAAACTGGTTGACGCATAAAGTAATTATCAACTCATTACGGAAATACTTTAGATTAGAATTTTTACGTACCGGTGGTATATAAGACCAACAAATGCAGTCATCGAGTTAGTGTACGGTCGTTTGGCTACAGTGGATCTATCAATAGTACATTTGTGTTACTTCAATACACCAAAGGCTATGGATGTAAGTGTTTATTCTATTGACTAAATTACTTTTTTTCTGTTATTTTCATGTGTGTGTATTATTTTATTTAAATATTGTGTATGTATATGATTAAGCCGTGGTAACTCAGATGGTTAGCGCTAGCTGTAAATTTCACAGTACGCGACCCGGGTTCGATCCCCGCCAGCACCAATTAAATTGTTAATAGCAATTTTAAGTGCTTATTACCACGTGCTTGGTGGTGAAGGAAAACATCGTAAGGAAACCTGCATGTCTGAGAAAATTTCGAAGGCATGTGAAGTTCGCCAACACACATTGAGGGAGCGCGGCGGACATTTCCTTGCTCTAAAACCCTCTCAGAAATGAGAGGAGGCCTATGTTCAGCAGTGGACTTTAATAGGCTGTAACTTTAACTTTTTTAACTTTTATGATTAAGTGTTAACAAATTGATATTAACATGATAACTGTGTTGTTGCAGAAATCATTGAGCTTCGATGAAGATACCTATAAACAGTATTACTACTCGCCACTCTCCCCTCAAGAAGAGAGTGATAACCTCGTCATTAATAATAAGACATGCGATGGTGGAAAAAGAAAATCGCAATCGATTGATCATTTTTTTGAAGCTGAATCAAAAATAAAAAAGAGGAAGCTGTTATCATCAACCGTAGCACGAGCCGCTAGAGATGGTGTATCATACATTTCTACTAATTCTGACGACGGAGACCAAGCGACGCATCTCATCAAAATTGAAATGTACGATATGAAGAAGCTATCCAAGATTCCAACTACTGATCATTGGAAACATGCTTCCACTAGAATTAAATATTACGTAAAGACTAATAAGGATAGCATCTACGACAACACAAACGCCCTCGTATACAATATAACAAAGACAATAGCAGAAAGTGAAAAAGTTAAAAAATACTTTTTTAACAATGACAGTCATTCTCAATGACAGTCAGCTGATCATTAGTGAATGTGATTCTGTTTACTTCAATTACAGGAAGACAAGAGCGGAAGGAAGAGATGAGTGTGGCATACGTGTACAAAACACATCATTGAATAACAAAACTACAACACTGAGTGGAGAAGAAAACGAGAAGAGTATGCAGTACTCAAGAGCTGAATATCCATTCTTCAGTTCAAAATCTAGCCGTTTGCTTAGTTTCGAAAACTGGCCTCTAGTTATGCGACAGAAACCTGAAGATCTTGCCGAAGCTGGTTTCTTTTATACTGGCCATGCAGACGGGACCAAGTGTTTCCATTGTGGTGGTGGTTTAAAAGATTGGGAAGATGATGATGATCCTTGGCAGCAGCATGTTCAGTGGTTTAGTCAGTGTGCTTATGTAAAATTTCAACTCGAACAGTGTTTTGTATTAGATTAAATAGAAGATTTATAAAGAAATAAAAAAAATATATTGCATACAATTTGTTTTATTTAATTTTATAACGTTTCACATAGTTACATACACACAAAATGCATTACACATAACACATAAAATCTAACACACAACACATATTATAACCTTAACTACTATAGTCTACAGTAACATTTCTGTTTTTATCTATCTCAATAATATTATCAAACTCAGCATAAACTACAGTTAATTGTTTGTATTAATGAGGATTCAAATCGTACTTCTATTCTTACACTAGCATGCTTTATGAGATTCCAATGAGTTGATGAGTTAGCTGATAAATCCAGGAGTTAAGTCAAATGCTAATAGACAGTAACCTTTGCCATACTGTTCACAAGAGATTCCATTTCCTTCATTAAGAAAGTGAATACCAGTTCCCGAGAATAGAGTATGATATGCTGATGTAAATATGCTATTATTAAAAGATGGTTGCAAAGCTTTTGAAGGTATTTGTTGACCATCAATATATAAGCTGAAAGAATTAATACCATAGTTTTCAAAGTTAAATGAATTTTTAGTAAGGGAACCATTAAATGCAGAATTGTTCACAAATCCAATTATACATCTTTTCGGTACCTGTCCTAAAAATATATTATCAAGAGTTTTTCCTTGAACACCTGAAGGAATTGTTAAAACTTTTCCTTCAGCTCGAGTAATAGGATATTTAGCAGTGGTAGAAGCTAAAACTTTTTGATGTGCGAGTAATACACTTGGATTAATTCGTGCTCGTCGCACAATAAGAGTTGCGTCCGTAATGCAAACTTTAAACTTTACATCGTTCGACCCAACAATTAAATTAAAACTCTCTCTTGATCGAACCAATTTAACACTCATTTCAACACCATTAATTAAAAATTTATCTTGGTTAAAAATGTCACCGTGAAGATGACCAATCATTTCTATTTCCTTACTTTCACTAATCAATTCCTGTCTTTTAACAAATCCTATGTTTTTACCATCTGTAGAATCCATTTTTCCTGCTGTATCCTCATACCAAAGACTACAAGTAAGATGAGATTGTTTAGCAGCAGGGGCATAGTTTAAAAGGGTTTCCATGTATGCTCGATATGCATAGGTATTATTAGGTGGTGATACAAGTTTTTGGTTTAAATAAACATCAAGTTGACTAAAAAGTGAATGCAGCCAATTATTTACAGGTGCTACTATTGTAGTAGATACCAAGTTAGTTGAATCTTGATTTAATACTTTTGCCTTTATGTAGAGTAATGTATGAGACAAATCTATGTAGTCATCGCCGGTCCCAGGAACTTGAAACTCGATAGGTCCATCATCACCAAGAGATGAAATTGGTTTATAATGAATCCACAATCCATTTTCAATGCTAGTTTGTGTAGACGGTAGTGCAAACAAATCCAATTCTGACTTAACGCACTCGCAAGAATGATTATGAAGGAAAGACATATTTAGTTTGAAAATATATCTTTGATATTTTTTGGTTTTAGACTAAGTTTTTTCGCAGCTTTCACTTTAGCAGTTAATGGTGGAATGAACGATGTCAATCGTTTTCTTTTAGTTTTATACCCAGATCCAGTCATGTTAAATAGATCAATTTTCTCATCAGCCTTTCGTTTTAAATTCGTACTAACTTGCTTTAGACGATCTTTTATTGAGGCTTCCATAGGACGGGCTTGAACCATATCCGATAAAAGTCCTACTCCAGCGCTTAATGCCTCCTTACCAATCACTCGAGCACCACTTGAAAGTAAAGGTAAAACTGATCTGAATAACCCCCCTAAGAAGCTCCCAATACCATGACCGCGTTGATATGGTGAACCCTTATAAATTACTCCAACTCCTGATCCAGCTTGATGTGTATAATAATTTTCATATGGACATTTATGATGATCACGAAGAGAATTCATTATTATAATTTTCGGAAATGTAGTTTAATACACACGGTTCCAAACTGGAATGGTATTTTTTGTCCTGTACTCGATCTTACATCACTCACCTTCGATTTGCCGACGATATAGTCCTTATGGCAGAATCGCTGGAGGACCTAAGCACTATGCTCAATGACCTCGATAGTGTTTCCCAACGGATAGGTCTTAAGATGAACATGGACAAAACAAAGATCATGTTCAATGTCCATGTCACACCTATGCCGGTAGTTGTTGGGAGCACTAAGCTCGAAGTTGTTGACGATTATGTTTACCTGGGACAAATAGTCCGACTAGGTAAGTCCAACTTCGACCGAGAGGTCAATCGACGGATTCAACTCGGCTGGGCAGCGTTCGGGAAGCTACGACACATCTTCTCGTCAGACATACCTCAAAACCTGAAAACGAAATTGTACAACCAGTGCGTGTTGCCAGTGATGACTTATGGAACTGAGACGTGGTCCTTCACTGCTGGCCGTATGAGGAAGCTCAAGGTCGCTCAGCGAGCTATGGAGAGGGCTATGCTCGGAGTTTCTCTGCGTGATAAACTTAGGAATGAGGATATCCGCAGTAGAACCAGAGTAACCGACATAGCCCAACGGATTAGTAAGCTGAAGTGGCAGTGGGCCGGCCATATAGCTCGAAGAACCGACAACCGATGGGGAAGAAAGGTTCTCGAGTGGCAGCCTCGTACCTGTAGGCGAAGTGTAGGGCGTCCCCCCACGAGATGGAGTGACGACCTGGTAAGACATGCAGGAAGTCGATGGATGCAGGTGGCTCAGGACCGTGCTTTGTGGCATTCTTTGGGGGAGGCCTATGTTCAGCAGTGGACTTGTGAAGGGCTGTAATGATGATGATGACTCGATCTTATAACTATTTCCAACGTATCGAACTCTCTTCGCATAACAGGTAAGTAGTGAGGTTGAGAGAAAACGTGCATTTTATTTGCACCATAAATGTATTTTGTAGGATCTAATGAAATGACTCTTAATAAAGGAGTCATAACATCACCCACAATCTGAGGATCGATAATATCGCAATATAGAAATAGTTGAGATGGTAACCCTAAGTGTAAATTAGCAGGACACTTTCCAAAATTTCTCTCTAGGAGATTTTTATTTGGTTCATAACCTAGCTGTAAACTTAATTTGGGTGATAATGTTACGGATGTTATATTTTTATCCAATACCGAAATAGACACAAATTTTGTTATTTCATCATAGCGAAATTTCAAGTTCTCTCCGATACCATTTAACACTCTTAAAATATGCTCAACGTTATCATAGTTGGTAGCTGGAATATGTTTTTTGTAGTACACTGTGGATGGCTTATCTTCATTAGGCATTAACATAGATTTTGTAATGTATATAACATTTTCATGGTCTTGAACAGTAAACATGGTACATGGATATTGAAACTCGACAACTCCAACCGACCATTCACCTTCTAATTTTATAGCTTTTGGTAATTTCGTTGAAAAATTTGTGGTCTTGTTATCAGGAAAGTATTCCATTGAACTATTGCTGAGCAAAGTTAAATAGAAACTTTCTTTATTCATATTTCTTTTAAACTAGAAGCTAAAATCCAACTGTTAAATTTATCTGGATAACCTTTCCACTTCACTAATACTTCTTTTCTGTTACCTGAATAACGAGTGTCAATTATTTTATCTATTTTATGTTGTGAGGTGGGGTTGTAAGTGATTTTCTGTAATTCTCTTTCATAAAAAGTACCAATTATTGGTTCATTTTGTAAATCTGTTATTGTATAAACAACCCATGGAGATCTATCAATTATTGAAGATATAATAAATATTTCATCACTCCAATTTGATTCATATCCTTTTTGGAATACATGTTTATATTTAGTTATTCGAACATAATCACCCACATTGAAATTTGGTTTAGGATTTTCTAAAGAAAGTTTTTTTGACCGTCTGTCATAAAGATTAGTCCAAACTGTCATAATATTGTTGGAATTTACATCACATGGGCACATCTTAATACTAGAGTGAAAGCTGTGATTATAAGAGTATATTAAATCT